TTGATGGCCCATTCTTGTCCGTATTTTTTAATTTCGTCAAGGTCAAGTTGCAAAGAGTTTTGAATGGAAGTCAATGTTTTGCATGTATGGGAAGCGTAAAGTGATGTATCATCGGCGAAAAATAAAATATCATTTTTTTTTTGTACGAGTTGAGAGGTCATTGAGGTATAAAAGTGCAAGTAAAGGGCCGAGAACTGATCCCTGTGGGCAGCCAGCATTTATCCCGCGCCCCGCTGGGCTATTCAGCCATACGCGCCCTGCTGGGGGGGGGGGGCAGATTCTGCCCCCCTGTCTAACTTCCGAACCGATGGTCGTAGAAAGACGGGGAAAACGGCAATCAAAAGCTCTCAACAAGGCGGATCTTAAGAGCCCAAAATTTTTTGCTTAAGTAGGTCAGAGGTCAGGTCAAGGTCAGGTCAAGGGTACAAAATGCAAGTTTCTACAGTATCGGCCTTGCACCGTAGTTGCCGAAGAATGGACTGAGCCTGATTGCCCAAAACGTGTCCTTAGACTACCAAGACAATATTCGTTGCATACAATGTCATTCAAAGGTCAAGGTCAAGGTCAGGTCAGGTCAGGTCAGGTCACCAAAAACGAAATATAGAAAAGGGCATGTGCGACACATGTTTTATAGGTCATTTTACTCATATAATTCAATAGGCACACTCAATAAGTGATATGAACCACCTCTGGATGAATTTCAGGTCGAGGTCAGGTCAAGGTCAGGTCAAGTGAGGTCAAATTTTGAAGTTGGTTGTTAAGGCCTAAAAAGGTGTCTATCTGGTGCAGTTTTTCACGGCGAATCGAATTGTGCTATTTTTGTTTTCGTACAAAGTCTAGAACTTCCAAAAAAAATCATTTTTCAAAATTTTTGTATGTCGTAACGTCATAAAATTTTGAATAACTCTCACATTTTTGAACCGATTCCTCTGAAAATTGGTATGTACGTGCACATAGACCACTTCTCTGACATATATTCCGGTTTTTCGATACACTCAAAATTTTGGATTTTATAATTATTTTCCCAAAAAAGTCAGATTTTTGGAAAAATTTGGTCCAAAATCCAAAATTTTCAAAAAACTGAGATAGCCATTTGATAGATAAAGTAGAATCACGTATAACCTTTTTTTGTTACGTCTTGATTCCTTAAAAAATGAAGATGTTAGCGGCGGTTGAAATTTTGCCGTTTTTGAGGCGAAAATGGCGAACATGACGTCACTAAAACGTCAATTTCTCAAAAATTTTCCGACGGATTTCGCTCAAATTTTCAGGGAACGTGTCAAATTGATGCATGATAAGGTACTGAAAGTTTGACGTCGCTGGCGTGACGCGTTTAGAAGTTATTGGCGAAAAACGGGAGGGGGGGGCAGATTCTGCCCCCCCCCCCCCAGTGGGGCGCGGGTTATCTTACGGGGAGCTGAGAACGAATTTTGAATTTTAACTATCTGTATTCTGTCGGATAGGTATGATTTCAGCCAATTGAGAAGTGATCCTGAAAGTCCAAATTCGTTTTCACATGTTCCTTATTGCGTTTCCTTACATCGTTTCCTTATTCATTTCCAGATCATAGCGCGCGCGTGTGTGTGTGTGTGTGTGTGTGTGTGTGTGGGGGGGGGGGGGTGGGGGGGGGGCTCAATGACTCATGACTCATGAGCTCATTGACCAGCCACTACCAGAAAACACTGGCTGAGGTGAGCCAGGTCACAACGGGATAGCGCGGGGTGGAACGCCAATGAGACACAGGCCAGAGTGTTGTACCGCGGCGCAGTAACTCTCCCTTCAGGTGATGGGATGACGCGTCGTTAATTGGACAGACCAGAAAGAACCGGTCCCTGCCGACCCTGCTCGTGGCCAGCCTCATCACCCAGCCGAATCGATCACCCCCGCAGTCATGACGGTCCCGCATTTCAGAGAGGAAACCTCATCGGACTATGCAATCGACATGTCATGTTTCGATACACGCGACGAAAACGTGCTGCATTGAAATTGCCGTCAAACGTTTCAATTTCACGGCGGAAATGAACTTCGTATTCTAACAAAAAACAACAGAGAAACGGGAAAATGTCTAAACAAATGCGAATGCATCGTGGACATTTTTTCTTCTTTATTTTGTACACATTCTAAAAGCCATTTATTCTTGATCTTTTTTAAGATTATACTTCTGTGTAGATGCACTACATGGCTCCATCTGAGTTCCTTTGGTTATAGCTCGATCAGTAGCCCTTCATCCTTACTGGACCGATAAATTCTGCTAGAGAGAGCGCAGAGAGAGAGAGAGAGAGAGAGAGAGAGAGAGAGAGAGAGAGAGAGAGTGAGAGAGAGAGAGAGAGAGAGAGAGAGAGAGAGAGAGAGAGAGAGAGAGAGAGAGACAGAGAGAGACAGAGAGAGACAGAGAGAGACAGAGAGAGACAGAGAGAGAGAGAGAGAGAGAGACAGAGAGAGAGAGAGAGAGAGAGAGAGAGAGAGAGAGAGAGAGAGAGAGAGAGAGAGAGAGAGAGAGAGAGAGAGAGAGCCTTAGCCAACAAACCTGTTAACCCGCGAATTGCTGGGGGGGGGGGGCGTTAAACGCCTCTACTTTTTTCGCCGGGCCATAGCATAACAACGGCGCGCCGCAGGCGCGCCAAATTTTGGGTACCAGTAGGGAATTGATTGAAGCTTATTGTGACAAAGTTTCAAAAAAATCGGTCGGAAATTTTTTGAGATATCGAGGTTTTAGTGACGTCATGATTTCTGAGTTTTTGACAAAAAACGGCATATGTTCAAAAAATCATATAAAATCACAGAATAGACATACAGACATGCCGTAAACGCCATTAGACTGCCAATACCATGAACAATCAAATGGCTATCTTCGATTGTTGATTATCGTTCTGCATTTTCCAAAATCTTGAACTGAATCTTGGCAATTTCTCGTGACTACTTCACGACCATGATACATGCATTTCTTAAATTGAACTTTTTTAGCCAAACACGTACACATATGGTAAAATGAATGTCACCATCGTGTTCTACGCCCCAAATTACCTATAAAACATGTGTCACAGGCTGCGAATATCAGTTTTGATTTTCGGGGATATGTGCCTGCCCGGTTGACCTGACCTTGACCCTGACCTATGCTTGACTGACCCCTATATGGAGCTGACACTCTTGTAGGCCTTATATGATGGATTGTGCACCGTTTTGACAGAGTTTATGACGAGAGGCGCCCATTGCGAAGTCCTGAAGTCCATGCTACGACCTGACCTTGACCTGACCTGTGACCTCAAAATTCAACTTTAAAGTACTCATCTGAAGCGTCTCGTCGCGTTCTTTCGTTTGCCGCCTCGTGCGTTTTGCTGCGCCTATTGGTTCTCGAGTAATCGGCTGGGGGCGTTTAACGCCCCCCCCCCCCCCCAGCAAACGGTGGGTGGCGAAATACCCCAGCAACTGCCGGGTTAATCACTTCCGACCGCACGGAAAATCAACAAAATAAAAATACCACAATGTGATTTTTCCGGAAAAACGAGATTCTACCTGAACTAGCATGAACTAGCACATCCTCATTCGTCCGCACCCCTACCTCTACCCTGCCAGAGGATCACAAACCATGCTCCAGGGGTAACGACGTCAGCCCTGACCAGCCGGGCAGTGGCCGACGTCTCATCACACACCAAACAGACGGTCAACAGACGCGAACCGTGAGCTAACGGAGCTGCGAGCGGGCCCCGCCAGGCCTGCAGTTTGCCCTATATCACCGACGACAATAACCGTAAATCAGAGCTCGGTTCGACCGTGACGTCAGCGGGCGACTCATAGCGCGGCGGGGGCCGGCCCGGGAGCCGGCGGACGGACAGCTGTCTCTGTCTGTCTGTCTGTCTGTCTGTCTGTCTGTCTCGGGCGGCTGGGGCCGGCCCGGGAGCCGGCGGACGGACAGCCGTCTGTCTGTCTGTCTGTCTGTCTGTCTGTCTGTCTGTCTGTCTGTCTGTCTGTCTGTCTGTCTGTCTGTCTGTCTGTCTGTCTGTCTGTCTGTCTGTCTGTCCGCCCGCCCGTCCGTCCGTCCGTCCGACCCTACATACCTAGTGACTACGTCCATCTCATAGCCTTTCTCTTGGGCAGTAGTGCCTTCCAACGATAATGTAATTGTTCAGAGTGCTATAATGTGGACGATGCTATACATACATCCGTTACATGTCTGAGCATATTAATCAGAGGCCTTCATCAAATGTGAATTAGCGAGCTGGTACCGAGCGGATACGATCCAAGCCGTTCGTAAATATACAGCAGTTCTTTATGCAGACTGCAGATCAAAAAAAAAAAATCGCAAGCCTGCTAAGGCAAATTTAGTATAAGGTTGGACACAGATCGTGGGATTTTCCGAGCACCGATTGAGAGCCCCCACACACATCCCACTCTCGGACACAGAGCGGTAGTGATTCTCCGGCTCTCCGTGTACCGTTTTGGATCCGCGTGACACCGCTCGCCGACCCGTGCGCCCCCTGATCCTCCGCCGGCGACGGTGTCGACGAACGACGTCGTGCGTCGCTGCCGACGACGCCGGTGTCGTCAGCCGCCGGCGGCAGGGGGCGGCATATCTGTGCCGGGAGCGGGCCATCCATAACAATCAGCCGGTGATCGGCGGCGGCCGACGGCCCCCATGGCCACCGTCCAGAACCGGTCCCGTCCGCTGGTAATAGCTGCGGGTCTAATCGCGGCGCCGTAGGTGTATCTTTACTGCCGGTGTGTCGCTCGTGTGGGCGGCTCATACCATTGGAGGATTATAGTTGATAGCGGCTCCGTTGCGTCAGCCATTAGTTTTGACCTGATCATTACAGCGGAAGTCATCATTAATGACTCCCGATCTATAGAAGGACCGAGCTGGACAGAGCCATCACATACTCGTAAGCGCTGTTTTTGCTCCTCTCCGCAGTCATCAGCTCTCGATGGCCCCACCATCCACCGGCACTACAGCACACAACGAGGTGACCCACCCAGCCGCACCCCTGACCCCTCGCCGGTCTGACCTGCACTGCGGGTGGTCGCGCGATTCCTCCACGTTGGGCCGGAAGCCGCGGCGCTGGGTGCGGGTCTGAGCCACCATCAGCGGTCGCTCCAGATCATCGATGGCCTGCTTCAGGTCGGCGATGGTCTGCTCCTGGCTGACGATCTCCTGGATGACCTGGGAGGAGGGACGGGTAGTCAGATGGAGCTGTCGCGACAATGTGGCCTAATATGCGCCACGGCATGAATTCGATGGTGTATCTGCTGGAAATCCATTCAGACCCACGATCCCATTCGTTGCAAAACGCTCACGACTGTTCGGGAGACTGTTAGCCAGCCGGCAGCCGATGATCATGTTATGAAACATTTTTCAGCATATGCACATAAATTGAGGAATATGTCATTATGCAATAGGTATGCATATCGTCTGAAACATGTTTCGCAGCGTAATCTACAAGTATTTCTTTCAAACCTAATGAAAAATTAGTTGAAACGGTAATTGGTTTAAGTGGCGGAAATTAAGATCAAGCATCATGTTTACCAACATTACGTAATTATTCACTGCGTCCCGAGCAAAACTTGCAACAGTGTTTCAATTGGCCACAGCCGCCCCCATATCAGAGCACTATTATTAGCATCCACTGTCGAGCAGAGTTCGACAGTCAGTTATTTGTGCCTAGATTTCGGCCGATTGACAGATGTTGATTGCCAACAAGCCTGCGTCTGTCAGCCAATAAGCTGGTCAGCCACATAATGTTCTAGCGATCTATTTCATCCCATAACATATCCATGGTACTGGATCTAGGTATACCCACCTAAAAAGCTACATTGCTGGGTTTCCTGGGTTTCAAAATAATGATGCGGGAGCTACACCCGGTGACAGGACTAGCCAAGCAATTCCGTGTGCCGACCGGCACCTTGGTCAGCGTTTGCACTATATTTTTCAAATAATGACGAATGTCAATTGTTGATATCTATTCATTATTCAACTGCAAATATCCAACCTATAATTAACAGAAGCACAGTGACAAATATTCTAGTGAATGAAGTTCCAATGCAGAAAATATTTAACATTGTTACTTGTATTTTCTCTTTGTCTGGTTAACAGGTACACCCCTTTGTTTTCGTAAGTGGTAGCCATTTCAGGCTTATTCTAAAACAATAAAAAAAAAACGTTGGCATCGAGACGAGTCCAGCAAAAGTCACCGAAAAGATACCAAGAAGTCGACGGAGACGGAACTGAAGTTCTACAATACAAAACTTGGCCTTCCAGTCCCCTTTTTGGCACGCTCTGTGAACACATTCTGTGGCACTTAGAGCATCGTTTGAGACAATATTCGCTGCCAACTTTGTCGGCGGCGCTGACAGCGGTGGACTGCGGCCGGATGTGCGCGCACCAATGCCGGCCCCGACATCTCGGCGTGACAGCGACCACAGCAAGCGGCCGCGCTAGCGTCCAGAGATAGTTTGTGCGATATATCCAGCCTGGTATTCGGCTGCCGGTCAGCCGTGGTTATTCCGGGAACATCCTAACATAAGTGGGAGAGGACTGCCCACAGGGAACACCGCAAGGTGTACTTCACCAGTGTCACTGTGTCAACCGTGCCACTGCGTCACTATGTCAGCGTGTCAGTGTGTCATGTCAGCGGCCGCAGCTGTTGTAAACCGGTGACGGGCGATGACTGGACGCAACCGCTCTGGTGCTGCCTGCGACAGTAGGTAAATAAAGTGTGATCACGGCCCCGTCAGCCTGCAGTGCACTGTGATATTTAGTGGCACGCCGCACAAAGTTAGCCATTATTAATGAAACAAATAGCAAAAGCTAATAATTTCTTAAATCTTTCCTAATAAGTAAACTTTTGCAAACGGGCGACAGTTCTGTCACCCGTTTGCGACAGTTCTGTCGGTTCTAACCGACAGACGCTTTTTCACATCACTATTATTTCATTCGGAGGACAAAAACTTTATTCATTCTAATATCAACTAATCTTCCAGGCTACAGCTGCATCACGCTCGTATAGCATACGCCCGGAAACGTGATGCAATCTGTAGAAGTTCTGAGGGAATGTACCTAATCAGTTTAAGCTACAAATGTGGCGTGTTGCAGCAGGCGGGGCATCTCAGGTAGGAGGGTGGGTGGGCTGGAAAGCTAGAAATAACCGGTAACGCCCATCAGCCTCTCTTGACCTCTCCACGAGGGTTGCCAGCCTGAGGCATCACTAGCCCCACTCCCACCCCCACCCCCAGCCCGTGGCCGCCAGAGGCCGTTCATCCGGTCCCCACCAGCCGGTCGGTGGGGGAGGGGCAGTCAGGGGAGGGGGACGGGGGTTCTGTTTTACCGATTGGTATCGGAACCACCGCCTAATGGCACCATGTTGACCCGACCCGTCACTGGCCTCCCGAGGCATTTCTAGTTCCCACCAGACTGACGGCTCTCGAAATACACCGCGAGAATTTGGTTGAGCACCTCACGTTCATATTTCCTCAGCACCCTTAACTACGTTCACACCAACTGTATTGGCATTTAACGGCTCCAGAAAAATAATTGTGTTTAATTGTATTGATCATAAGCAATCCACACATGGCATGGCGAGTACTGCTCAGATTCCAAGGTACGCATCGTGTACTGAGGGTTTTTAAATGAACCGACATATTATGGTTTCCGAAGCGTACCTACTGGGCGAACTTTCATCGTGAACGAGATTTTAGCGAAACAGCCACTTCGTTGAATGCCACAAATACCTACGCGTATAAATAGATAAATAGAAAAAAAAATGGCAAACAAAAGCCAAGAATGCCACTAAGCACTCATTTCTTCTGAACATGGTTATCCTATTCATTTATCTAATTGCGCAGCCGCTATGTCTCATCTCTCCATTGCCATCCCAAGATCAGCGTTTCATCAAACCACTCGACCACTACTGACCGTTCCATCTCAGAGAGCTAGCTACTGGTCACAAAGATATCCCCGTCTGCGCCGCTGTCGCCTCTGAGCGACCCGGAAAAGTGACCTCGCTCCGGGACGATAAAAAGGCACCAGGAGCATCGGATGAAAGCACGGCACGAAGACTAATGAAATTGGAGAAACAAACAAAGAAACAAAGCCTTTGAAAACGACGCAATGTTAAGGAAATGCGACGGACCGGGAACCGCCGCCCGCAGCAGGAATTTATAAAACCTCGTCAGTCTTCAGGGATTTACGAAATGTCGAGCCATTCGTATTTCAGCCACACAGCTCAGCTAGGCTGTTGTGTCGACCAGTGAAAAGGAATACCAATTACAAATAAGATATTGCTAACCCTGAGCTTAGATATAAGTAGATACATTGTTTCAATTGCCAATAAACCTATAGACTCATAATAAATTGCAACTTTATTCGACAAATACTCTGATAAGCATCCGTCTGTAATTTGGTGAAGGCTGCCCAATTGAACTGACAGGCCTGGCCCAGACCCAATCCCGACGCCCAGAAATGGACAGTTGGCAAATCTCAAAATAGGCCCGCCATCCATCCAAATAAAATCGTATCAGAGCAGGCTATAACTCATTTCGTTTCCCAGTCGAATAAGTCTCCATCGGCCGGGCCCCATCCGTCTATTTTGTCTGACTGGCCACACCGGGTGGGACTGCCATGGGGCCAGCCGAGGCCAGAGCAGCCTCCGGGGCGGGGCAACAGCCGGCCGCCAACGCACTGTTACAGAACAGTTCAGTGACATATTTTGGCAGTCCAAATACATCATGGTGACCTATTGGCCAGTTCAGCAAATTTTCATTCAATAAACAATCATTTTATATAGTGGGACATATCGCTTCCGAAAATATCGCGTCTTTCAACATTGTTCGAACGTCTGCAATAATTGGTGAAATTTACAATTACCGAACAACTTTGATCCACTTTCATGAAAGGAGGAAGGCTCGTGTAGCTTGCAGCTGTGTAGACGTAGTAAGATGAAAGTAACTCGAAACGAGATATAAACAACCAGGAATAGGGTGTTTCACATGTTCAAAGTGCCATATTGCGAGTCATATCGATGTTCCCCTCAAATGTCATCTGCTCACAAGTTTCTGTGTAAAATTTCACTTCATTCTGATGATGTTTAGAGGTCGCACATTTCTGCGACTTTTCATCTCTGATTTTGTTTCTGGCCGTAACATGAGTAGTCTTCCTGCGAACTGATTTGGTTGAGAAAGACAGGCAGTGGCGGCGGAATAGGGGGTACAGGGGGTGCAGCTGCACCCCCATCGAAAAACATGGGGGTGCAAACATATCTTTTTTGCACCCCCAAAATCCATACAAGGGGCCCGCCGCACCATCCAATACATTTTCTCCTGAAAACCAGTGATCGGGAAACGAACACTGATGTGGAATCATCCGGGGTGTCTATTTATGGTCAGGAGCGCCCCGTGCTAGTCGGGGCCTCCACACCGGCTAGAAGTGTCCCGAGCCGCGTTTGGTTCTCCACACGGCATCTGAGGGCCCCCACGACGGCCTCAGAGGGCCCTTTTATGACGATCTCTGAGGGCTCCCACCTGAGGGCTTTGTCCCCTGGGGCCCTACAACGGCCACTAAGGGCCCTCGTGACGACCGCTGAGGGTCTCACAGAGACTCCAGGGGCCACGCTGGCCTCTGAGGGCCCCTATGACGGCCTCTGAGGGCCCTTACGATGATCTCTGTGGGCTCTCACGACGAACTCTGTCCCCTGGGGCCCTATAACGACCACTAAGGGCCCTCATGACGACCGCTGAGGGTCCCACAGGACTCCAGGGGCCCCACTGGCCCCTGAGGGTCTCTACGACGGTCTCTGAGGGCCCTCGTGACGGCCCTAGACCCAACTCAAGCCTGAGGGCCCATTTGGCTTCAGGCGGCCCAGCGACGGCCTCTGAGGGCCCCAACACAACCAGGCTGCGGGGGCTATGCTGGCATCTGAGGGCTCTGCAACGGTCTATTGAGGGCGGCAGGGCCCTAACAACGATGGCCTGCGAGTCGTGGAACTCAACCGGAAGGCGCTGCCCAAGCGCACCAAGGAAAGATGTGCCCCCTTCTCTGTGTAACGAGTTTTGGTGACAAAAGTGTGCGACCCCTAAATATACTTAAATTTGGGTTTCAAGCGTATCAATCGATTCAGTTTTACGGGTAGAGTTGGGGCAAAGTCGATATGGCTGAGTTTTGAACCAACA